CAGATCCTCCCCATCTTGCCACCCACCCAATTTATGCCTTTCTCTTTCTCTCTTTGGAAAATAAATAAACAAAATTGCAACAAGCCAGACTAAAATATAAAATAACAGAGAAGACACGAGAAGCACAAAATCAAAAAATAAAACATAATATTGAAGAAATAATCTGCAATCAAAAGCAAATAAAAAACAAAGCTATCTTAGAAAAAAAAAACACCTACAAAATACTTTGAGTTCATATGTTATTGTCATCTAATGCGAGGCACTGACTCACCATTAAGTGTTGTTAATATCCTCAGTGACATTCATTTGCAGAAAATTAACTTTTAATTTATAATGCGGTGTTATTTGGAGATAGCATTATTCTCAATAAAAACTAAATTATGTATATTCAAATATTCTCAAAAATCAAAAATGTCAATATTATGGTTTTGTGGCAATAATTGACTCTATATGGATATAGTGCTACTCAATAAAACATTTTTGCCTCTAGCCATGCCTGGGGCTAGTTACAGCACTATAGTAATGGAAACCAATGATATGAAGTATGTTAATTAAGGTATTGTTGTTTTTGAAACCCTAATAATATCCTGCTGTGTTTTATTCATATGATAAATATTAAAAGAATATAAATAAAGTTGCATACATTTCAAGAAGTTATTGGTTTCATTAAACCAGACATTGAGAAGGCTATAAAGAAATTACTTTTATATTTTAATATGTATTTATTTTATATATGTGCATGCATATGTGTGGGTATTGGTGTGTCAAGCAGTCCATTGATTTGTCAAAGGACAATTTTCAAAAATTTGTTTCCCTCTAAAATCATGTGTGCCCTGAGGATTGAAGTCTGGTCATCAGGCATGGCATGGAGCTTTTACTCTCTAAGCCATCTTATATATCCTTAAGAGATTAATTCTATTTGTATAAATGACATTGTACTTTTGTTTGACAAGTTTTATTTTAAAATACTATCAGATGCAATATGTTAGTCCTGATAGTGTTTCTGAAATGTTACTCTAATCCTAAATTACTTAACAAATATAATAAATAAGTTAGTAATTCTGGGGGAAAGGGGAAATGGATCATTTTACTTTAAAACATTTCAAACTCATTTACTTTCTCTGGGCTTCCAAGTATATATTTCAACACAAAGTGTTTAGCACTGAATTTAAGAGATGAATATGTATATCATTACCAATAGTTTCCTATACATGAGGCCTCCTTTGCTTCCCGAGTGAATGAGCTGTACTACCTTTTCTACTGTAACATCTATGTGAGGTAGCTCAAACCCAAGCCCCATGCACACTAGCATGGGCTTCCACTGACTCCAACTATAGACCTTTGAAATATTGTTCATTATTTTCCTTTTTGTATTTGTGGTTTGATGAAGACGTATAACTTGTGCAGCAATATACTTAGTTTCTTTCCATAGTATTTGATATCTATAAATAATAACACTTTTAGAATTATTACAAATAATACAGCACTCCTAGAGTACACATGATTTAGTAAATAAAACCCCAAAGCAATAAAGTTTTAAAAAGCATAGCATAAAATAATAAATGTCTGCTACTATTGATTAAACTCATCAAACTACTTGCACTGAATGTAGTATTTGTTACTCTACTATCAATTTATTATATTATCAAACATAGCTTTAATTTCAAGTAAATTATTCACAGAAAAATATATAACCACATTACTATTTTATAATTTTTTATTGTTCACTCTGGTATTTTGTTGGCATTCTTCCTTACAAGTCATTAATGTCTCCTGATGTCTTCTAATAAAACCTTTCTGAGTGAAAATATAGACAGGTAACAGACATGCAGGAGCTATTATAGTGTAATTAATGTTGCAACTACGATCTATGCTCCTCAGAGGGATTCTGTTTTGCACAATTTTCAAATGAGACAATGAGAACTTACAAGAAACCTGGCCCAAATTGTTTTATATTTTTAGTTTAGATTTGCCTACAACCCAAGGAGACTTTCCGAGACTCACTGATGTAGAATATTTATGGCATAGTATGCAAAACACCCTCCTGCTCATTATTGCCAGTTTGAAGCCTACAACAGAGATTAGCAATCCCTAGGAACAGACACAAACCACCACCAACAAAAAGATTCACTTAGCAGCTTGTGCTTAAATATTTCTGTGTGTGTGTGTGTGTGTGTGTGCAACAACAATTAAAGACGATGATCTCATGAACTTGAAATGGAATGAGAAGACCATGGAGGTCAAGCTGAGGAAATAATGTTACTATATATTGATTTTAAAAGAGGACTGCCTAGTAAAGGAAATATTGGAATTGAATGGAAAAGTTTAAATGCTATATAAAATTGGTTATTTAATGGATGCAATAGAAAATTAAATTTCATTTTCTTATCTTAAAATCTAATGTTCAAATTGGGAAACAATCATAATTCACAAAATATACATTTTAAGAATATATTGAAAATGTGTTGAAGCACCCTAAAGAACTGAAATTCTAAAAAATTCTATAGAAAATACAAACAAAATTATTTGTGGAAAATTTTTGAGAAGCAATCATTCCCAGTGACCACTGATATTATATACAACAATGAAGCAGAAGAAATAGACATAGGACAACATTGGTGACTGTTTCTCAAAAAGCAGAATCCTCTTTCAAAATAACCTTTGGAATACCCAAAGCAGCTATTGATGTCTGTAGCCCTTTACTCACCAATTCAAAATACACTTTAATCACATGATCCATTTTACTGAAGGTCAATGACCACCCTTTATTTAAACATTAGTGATAGATCTATTTCATTGTAATAACTTCTTCTTAGATGTGATGTGCTAATCTTCCTATCATGAGCATTTGGCTTAACTGTGAATTTGAGAGCAATAGAATTATCTACAGGGGATAACGAAATGATTTAATGGTTAAGGGCATCTGCTGTTGCTCCATGGAACATAATTTAATTTCCAGATCACTCACAGTGGCTCACAACTATCTGTTACTTCACTGCCAACATATTTACATTATTTGTAAGCTTATACACAACACATTGTACTGAAGAATACGAGAAGACATTTTTTTATATAAAAATTAATGATTTGCATTTCCCTGATCGCTAAGGAAGTTGAGCCTGACCTTAAGTGTCTTTTTGGCCATTTGAACTTCTTCTGTTGAGAATTCTCTGTTCAGCTCAGTGCCCCATTTTATAATTGGGTTGATTAGCCTTTTACGGTCTAGTTTCTTGAGTTCTTTATATATTTTGGAGATCAGACCTTTGT